TAATGCGATAATTATTACAATGTAAAACCGTCAGACCAATCGAGTAAGGATCAACTAAAAACATGCCAGTAATATAACAATATCTTGTCTACCTAACGCAATATGTAATATTATATTATTATCAGATTTGGGCAAATATTTAATTGCCTAATAAATTATAGATAATGCGTTAAATAATGTATTTATTCGTATAACCATAGAAATTAAAATTTTAAAAAAGCATTATTTTAAATAATTTCAAATTTAATTAAATATATTTTATAAATGATAAATGATAAATTTAGAAATAATAATCCGTTCTCAGTTTCGAATCAAAGCTAATATAAAATATTACTTTTAGTTTTATTTTATTAAAACAATTAACCAATGTCACAAATGCCATAAAATGCATCTATCAAAAAATGTATTGCTGTTAATCAGAATCTATTTTTAGTTTTTCTTCTTTAGCATCTTTAATATTTCTCCAGTTAAAAAACCAGTTTTGTGATATTTTTACTATTTTTTGTACGTTTATATTATCATTTTTTAAAATTTATTCCAAACTAAACTATGTATTCTATTTTTTCTTTTGCTGAATTCAGAACTGGAACTTTCTCTTAAAACACAGAATTTTTAGTAATAACGTAGTACTCTTTTTTGCCTTTTATATAGATTCTAATAAAAATATTTCTAACAAAATTTAAATTTAAATCTTTAATTTTAATAGTTTTGTTATTAGCTGGTTGGGCACTATGATTGGTGTTTCGAATGCTTTGGGACACGTGTTCTTAGCGTTGAATTCTGTTGAAATTGGACATACTCACGTTTTTAAAGATAATTTTTTAAGATATTATAAAATAACGTTTTTAAGATATTATATTGATTTTTGTTCCAGGATAATTATTGTTGTGAACGTATTTGAATATATTATATAAATAAATAGTTTGTACAAGATTAATTACATTTTAAATGAAATTTAACCAATGCTCCCATGTATTCAATTAATTACTATGTATGTATTATAATTTATATAAATCATTACAGGACAGTCCCCAAAACACAACTAAATACGTTATAATACAATATACCATATTGGCCTAGTGAAAACAAAATGTATGCAATAAAATATTTATTTAAAAAAATAATCAGTCTTCGAACCAGCGATAAAATATTCAGTGAATTTTAAGCCTAAATTTAGTTTGTAATACCTTGTTGGACTTTTACCCAACAGCCAGTGATCCTTGCGTGTACTTAAATAATAAAAAATAGAATTTGACGGATTAATAAAAACCCTATGACCACCGTCGTCTTCGGTCATGGTGGAACAGAGGAAAATCGCAGCGGCTTGTCATTGCCACAGTATATATACATACATATATTATATACTATACTTGTGTACACCTTTACACTATCCGTTTACAAGATTCTACACGCCGACCGATATCTCGTATGTGTTGGTAGATACATCTATATATATATATATAATATGTTAGTGTTATTATTAATATACATCTATATAGAAAGAATGTCGATTCGTATATTATAATATTATTGTGATACACGTTGTCGGATATGCGGCGGCAATCAAACGGCATCTCTCGTTCGGACTGTTCTGGCAGTGGGCGTTTGTATCAAAGGGACTCGCCGCCAACAACATAATAATGTTATATTTACGAGATATACACGTGTGCGTTTCTGCCATCGTATATATATATATAATATAATAAACCACGTTGCCATGACGACTGGGAAATATTTTATTGTAACGCGCTAAGGATTCTTATGTTATAAGAAAACAGAACTATGAGGGAATTTATAAGAAAGCGCTCACACGAGTCGGCCGTAAACGATTACATATTATGACATATTATATATATATATATATATATACATTAGTATAAAGAAATCAAAATGCGTTTGAAAAATGGAAATCGAGCGTTTGTGAGGGGTTAAAACAAAAAAGGCAAAACAACACATTTTCGAGGTTCGTCGCGCGGATTGGCGGCCGTCGCGTCGTCGCTCCATTACACGTTTTGGCGGCGGTCGAAGGGCATAGAGAAATAAATAAATAACATCGGAAAAAACACGAGGAATGCGCGACCGGTAGAGGGGAGGAAGGGGGCATCGGGAAAACCGATAGGGCGAGAGGGTACTCGGCCAACAAATGACTCATCCCTGGATGACCGGAGACGGCGGCGGTGTGTGAACAACAAAAGGACTATAGCCCGGAAAGATTGATGACGTTGTGCCCGGGTTCCTCCTCGTCCCGGTTGTACACGAACACTACTTTTTCCCCTGTAGGCGGTGGTGGGCGAGGGGGAGAGGGGGCACCCGCTAGTCCGAAGTCACTTAATACATAAAACGTTTTTATTCATGCATTATGTAACGCGCACTTTGGGTCCGGGAACGAGCGGAAAAATTCAATTCCCACAATGACCAACCTAGGGGAGAGCGTGGGGCAAAGAGGAATAATGAAATTCGTACATACAGCAGCGACGGCGGCGGACGGGAAAATAATGATCGAGAAATCCCGTCAAAATATATTCGAACGTGTAAAAAACTGACCATGCTCGAAACGATTGCGAAAAAAAAACGGAGAATTCGCACCTAAAAAATGTTCATTAAGTTTGGAATTTTCTATTACGAATACTATACAGGGTGATTCTTTTACCATGAACCAGTCAATATCTCACTGGGTTTAATAAATAATTGAATTTTTTTTTTAATAATGTTTTTATAAAACGTGATATCAATTTTTCACAATTTTTTGGGCTTTTACCCCCATTCCAACTTAGTTTTTTTGAAAGAAACTTTTGAAACTTATGGTAACGTAAATATTTTATTAACTTTTTAAATTGAGAATAATGTACTAAAAATTTTGACTAGTCGATAACCAGTTTCGGACAACTATTTGTAAGTTGTAAGAGTTTAAGAGTTAGGATGGGAGGGGAATGCGTAAAGATAAAAATAAAAATACACTCCACCTTTCCTCCAGCCTTTAACTTGAAACTTCAATAACTTCAAAAATAGTTATCCGAAACTGGTTATCGACCAGTCAACATTTTTAGTACATTATTCTCAATTTAAAAAGTTAATAAAATATATACGTTACCATTTAAGTTTCAAAAGTTCCTAACAAAAAAACTAAGTTGGGATGGGAGTAAAAAAAAAATAGTGTAAAGTTGAGATCACGTTTTATAAAAACATTATAAAAAAAAATTCAATTATTAACTAAACCCAGTGAGATATTGACTGGTTCATGATAAAAGAATCACTCTGTATAAGAAAACAGTCATAGCTTTTTTTTCTTATTAATGGTATACCTAATAATCGTTCAAATGTTTAATCGGTAATTTTTCGGTAAAACTCCAGTCATGACTTAAAAGCCCGAGTCGCTAAGCTTACATTTTTGAGTCGATCATCCTAGTCAAAACACAATTTTACTCTACATAAACCATTTATCTTTAATAGTTTAGTATTGTTACCTCTAACAAATAGAATGGACGAAAAAAATTGGGTATTAAAATCTTTAGCTTTATTTATGCGATTTAATAATGCTGGGTGATATTTTTCACGGCCTACGATAGTTTACTCTAAAAATAAAAGCAATTTTGTAGTTTTTCTTTTTGAAAACATTTTTATTTATGATATAGTACAATATAAGGTTATTTTCAACTGTTTATCTATTTTAGTATTTTCTATTAACTTTTAAAATTCAGAATCACTTGCTGAAAACGTTGGCTGACCGATAACCAGTTTTGAATAAATAGTTTTAAACAAATTAAAGTTTAAAATTTAGGACGGAAGTACTCAAATGTAAACTATTACATAAAAGGATAATTCGCATTTTAAATGTCGTCACTTCTAATTTTGTAATTCTTTCGAGAAATGTAATAATCAAAATCAAAGTTATATTATGAAGTTCCTCAAATGTTTAAAAAACTCAACACTTTGGTGCAGCATAAAAAAATACAACAATCAAAACACAATAGCTGACAATTCATTCGCCAATGTATAATATATACACGGATAAAACAAAAATTCAACTTGTACGATTAAGATAATTAACGATAGTGGTTAATTGTTGAGCTGTTAAATTTATAATAAAGGCTATATAAAAAAAAAAAAAAAACGATAGTGGTTATTATTTTGAGTTTCTGCGTTTCGACGTTTATTAATTTATAATAACTTGTTTATTGTGACTCGAAAAAGTGCGTTTCAAAAAATATTTTGTTATTAACCAATACCAACGAATGCCGAAAGTAGGTATTCTATTACGAGAGATTTCAACAGAAATATACTGCAAGGTGCCAAAAAGATATCAGCACACACAGCGATGGCACAATATATTATAATTTACCGTCGAGACAATAAAATGGAATTAAGAAACGCACAATAACCACACCGAGATGCCATTATATTAAATATTTATCGAACGGATGGATTATCATAGATGGGTATCGTAAAATAAGTAGTTTCCCATATAATAATAATAACAATACTTATGTAACGTCCAGACGAGTGGACGTAACCCGACAGTTATTTATAATGATAGAAGGACTCGGATAAGCGGTGGTTACTACACAATTATATTTCAGAGATTGATGTTACACCCGGAGTACGTGCGATAAATAAATCATACCATTACGAAACTACACACTCAAATTCGACTTCAAAACGTTTTCGCGCGATCATTTGAACACTTACGGATTGCAATATTGATGATAGATGCGGACCCCGTCGATAAACGAGAAACTTTATATCGGAGACAGGATTTAAAGAAATTATGAGGGCTCTACGCAAAACGAGAACAATACAGTAAAATAACTCAGTGTAAAGGATAACGCTTAGATTACCCCGAATAAGTATACCCTTCGCCCCCATTTCTACATCGTCGCAACTTACTTTCCATGTAAGTCAGTCAGATTCTATAATCGACTGAAATTATTGAAACACTTCGCGACAAACGTACAAATCGATTTTTTAAGAATTATAGTAGGTAATATTATAGTGATGCTTACCTGATCTGAGGTCCACAAGCCAGCGGCTCACCTCCCAAGAATTGTCCAAACCCTCTCGGCTACGTTGGGCGGCTCCTTCCTACACACAGCACAAAAATAAATTAATACCCTAATTAAACAAACAACCAGCAAGTTTTTTTAGGCCAAAAAAGTATTTGGTATTTAACCAAAAGAATAAACCTGGCCGACTAAAAAGAAAATGGCAGGACCAAGCCAACTCCAAATAGTCCATCTCGATCAAATGTATCGATTTATAACAAATAAATAGTCTAATATACTCACGTCGGACAAGTCACTGGAGTTGAAACCCAAAGGCGGTAAGAACCAACTGCGGTCCGTAGGGCTACGGGGACTGCTGAAAGTGCGGTTCCACGAAGGGGGCTCGTCCCCTGGCAACAAAAAAGGCTGTTCGCCGTCGTCGTAAGGGAAATCGACTCGCTGTTCGCCAACCTCTGCCGATCCGTAGTCCAAGTCGACTTTCCACAGGGCCTCCACCAGTTCAGCGTCCTTGCAACATTACAGTTAATGGTCGGTTTACTTAGAATTTAATACCATCGCACACTATCCAACATGCTATCCACTATAATATGTACTTAGTATATTATGGTATGACCGCCGAGTCCGCGGCGGTGGGAACGAATTGGAAACGGAAATGTATATTCGTTCAGACGTTGGCAAAAGCGCAAACATTCGAAAAGCTATACAAGCTATGGAATACACACGGGAATTGTTTCACTTACAATCTTTTTATTTTTTTTTTTTTTTTACCGATTGCGAGGGATGATCGGTCGCGGCCGCCATTTTTGATATCACCGCGAGACGAGGGTGAAAATCCCTGTGCGCATTGTGTTAATGGCGACGGGATCGTGATTGCGTCGCAACGCCATTAATCACAAGGGCTAACGTTTTCCAACCCCTCCCCTTCCCTCATTCCAAACCCTCCCCCGACGTACAACAGCAGTAAACCCTCGCGTGGCATCATAAGGGAGAGAGCCCCCGATACACACACACACAAAGGCCTTTTCTCTACATTATATCGGCCCAAACCGTCAGCGGTACAAATACATATGTGGACCGAGCGCGTCTCGCTTATACGATTTTCAACCGTTCACTTGCTGATACTATTTGCTGTATATACTACTATTCATATATATATACATGTATATCGCCGCCTTTTGAAAATAAATCCCCCTGTCCTTAAAAATCGTCATTCGGACGACGCTATACGCGCACGACAACCTTATTCCCCCCCGAAGTCTTTGTAAATGGCATCCGGCACGTTTACAATGCAAGCCGAACACGTACGGAATGAAGTTATCACCGTATACCTTTATACGGGTATAGTAGCGGTAATAATAACATAATATGAACCTGAGGGGAAACATCTGCACTGGCGATGGAAAATAAATGACACCGCATTCGCGACGACATAATTTATAATTATATACCCAATATAGTATTATACTACATAGATACAACACACACACATATACCTACGTGCATATACATACATACGTGTCTGTGAACAAAGCTTTTCTTGAAAAAAACCTTAAGATACCAAAAATAAACTCGAAACAACATATTTTCAAAAACGACAAGACGAATCATACAAAACAAATGCCACAACGTACTGAACATACAATCCTTTCTTCTGTAAATTTAGGAGAATATATTTTATGTTAAAAAGCTACATAATTATAGAAAAAAGCGCTTATACATCATCATATTGTAATGCAGGTATAAAAATTAATACTATAGCCATTATTTTCATGAATATCTAAGCCTCGTAGATAATATAACATATTTTAAAGGTTGTATTTACAGTTGATAAATTACTAAAACTATTAAGACAACTGCGAATCGACCAATTAGTGTGAGTGTGTGTGCCAAACACAATACATTCTCACCATTCTAAAATTCCAATTATAAAAATAAAACATAGACACTTATTAGTACACTATTAACCTAAGTCCTTGGATCGAAATCGTCCATCATCCATTAAACTCGCAACGGCTGGTAATTGCTTGACAATGCGAACGAAACACAGATATTGCTGTGATCCCGCGTTAATTTTCTCATGTACAATCCATTTGTAATTACTGATTACCAAAACTCAAGGCAAAAACTATCCGCTGAAGTACATATTCTAAAATATACTAGCAAATTTGTCATTTATCGTGGTCAACCAAATTTGTACCTACTATAAAACAACCTGGAATATGCACATATCGGCCGCTTTTTTGCACACATAATATATAGACGATAAACTAGAGATTTAGCAAGATGAGTTAAGTGAAGCCGACATTTAGAATATAATTAGGTACATAACCGATAATCTATTCAAAAATATAACTACTAACACCCGCGTGTAATTATACAGCATACTATTAACACTACACACACAATTTTCATATTTTAATTGTTAACATGACAAACATAGCAAATTTAGCAATATAGACTAAGGACCTCACGAAATTATCGAAGATTCGACTAAAATAACTTTACCTGAAGTAAAACTGTGTCGGGCGACAATTGATGACTTTTTCAGCGTAAATAAGTAAAATTCTGGATAGAGATGCCACTCAAATTTAGTAAAAAATGGCACTTACTATGTATTAGACCAAGGTATGTAATAGAAAAGGTAAGTTAGGTTTAGGGTTTACAAATTTACAGCGGATTTATTTTCTATCGAATTTACAGAACCGAATTCCATTAGTTGCTTTTTGGAATTCCACACTTTAGATATTAAATATTTTGAACTTTTATCATCACTGTACGCGTTTTCCATGAGAATTTTAAAAAATCATATTTTTATGTGACAGTTTGGAAATCGTTCAAATGGAACAGATTTCTTCAACGAGTTCTTCTTATAAAAACAAACGATGCTTTGTTTCTTTATTTTTCATTATGACTTGAAAGTAGTAAGTACGTACAAGCGAATTTGAAAAACATAACATAATTATATCCATACTTAAAACTATAGATGGACGAAAACCAACTGTTTTAATATACCTAGGAAAGACAAAGTAACATTTTTTTTAAATCTAGTAGAATACATATTTTTACACTTAATAATGATTAGCGAATTAGCGAAACTGTTGCTATAACAATAAAAACAACATTTTATAAAAGATACCTAATTAAAATGTATCAATTTGATGTGTTCATATATTTTGTCGATTTCAATTAAGTTTTATATTAATAATTATTATTTAACAATTTAAATTTTCTAAACCACTCCATTAAATAAATGAACAAAAACAAAAAGAGGAACGAGTTCTTTTTTAGAGAAACTGGATCTAAAACGGTATATATATATTATATATATTACACCTTTATTATTAATAAATGATATGTTCTCGATTTGATTCGCGTTCCATAAAATAATATTGAAAACAAACTTTTCCAGGGCCAAAACACAATGGTAAATTTTTTTTTTGACCTAGCCTGTGTTTTTTTTAATACTTACTATTTGGGTTTTTCACAAAACGTCGTCTCGCGGTGAAATCGCCAACGGCGCATAAAAAAATTATATTAAATGTTCCGACGATATGTACTGGATTTTATTTTTTTATTTTTATTTTTTAGTTAAACGGACCTATTATAAGTGTATATATCTGTATGTAAATCATCGCGGTTTCTTTTCCGGATGATTGGACAAAAACCGTGTGAAAGTTATATGTATAGAGTCGCCCTGGGTGTGCACAATATATTATACACACATATCGCACAGACAATAACAACAGTAAAATAAAATATAATATATATACACAAGACTAATGGATTTTTTTCTCTTCTTCTCTCCGCGGTATTCTTTTTCCTCTAGAGATTTTCTATTTTTTTTTTTTTTTTTTATTCCATTTTGGCGTATAATACACATGCAATGCACAGTGCACACACCATCCATAAAAACCGTATAATATCTTCAAACAAACGGACAAACAGACAACAACAACAAAAAAGAAATACCCAAAGTATTCGCACGACCGTTTTTCCGCATGTAATATATACGGTTTTTCCCCTTGGGAGTCTGTCGCGGCGGCCCGTCGAATCCATCATCGAGACGTCGCCTACAACAATGGCCGCCGCCGCGATACGCATACCTTGCGAACGTGTGCTCGCGCTAGCACAACCCGCTTTACTTACACCGTTTTGCCGATGTCAAATATTTGGACAGCCCGTCCCCGTCAGGTTATCGCAGCATACCTAATAACAACACTGATCATTTTTTCCGTCGCTGCCGTTCGGTGTGTTGTTACGCGGCCACGGTCGTTGTTGTCGTATATTATTATTATGACGGATTCGAGAAAATCGGTCACCTATTGTCGACGGCGGCGGCGACCGTCATCCGCGGCGGTCACATCCACCGTCGTCGGAACATGGGCCCCGCGGAACGAGCCGTGCAAAATTAACTGCGCCGCCACGCACCGAGACGACAAACCCGCGGCGTCGCGGTCACGGATCGCACCGGAGCGCGCGACAAAACGCACCGCACAACGGAATAGGCCCAATAAGTATGGATATACTTGGGTTATATAGATAGTAGAAGTTTTGTATATTCATCAGTAACGAAAAAAATTGAAAAAATAACCGTAGCGCATCTTTGGTACGGCTGTGAATCCGGTGGAATAGGTGTGACGAAGAGCGGCTGCTGCTGCAACGACAGATGACTTTTATTTTTTTTCCCTTTATAGGTAAAAAATATATACATATTATATACACCATCTATATTGTTACACATCATATTGTGCGTATTTTTTTACTATTATATTTTGGACGATGCAACGCGCAGATTGTTCTTCAAACGAACCATCAAATAATTATATTATTAGTCAGTCAAATTTAGTGTGTAGATTTTTTTACCGCACTATCCGACGCCACGAATTCCCCCTAAAAGTATGTTATTAAATGTATTTATTTATTTATCGAACGACGTACCTTAAATGTAGGTTCATAGATACATTTCCCAAAAAAATCGAGCACGGTACCGGTTGGTTAGGTTTTATGGAAACTCTATACTTGAACTTTAACATGAACAACAACTTGAGTAAATTTCAAATTTAAGTGGCCATTTGCGTTAACCGTCAAGTATATCTACTTAAAATTAAAATGTAGTTTGACCAGGGGTTGGTTGGTAAAAACTCAGCATCGAAAAACTCCCAGACTGTTCTTTTGGAGGCTTTCGGTTAATCCCACTTTAACACTGAAATATTTAAAGTCCTAACTGAATGATCGAATTTATAATTACTTTCAGTTTTATTTTTAACCTAAGGGCACGTGGAGCCCAAATAATACAATTTACAGATTTATATTTTTTTAGTTTTTTGAAAAGTTTTCCAAACTGTGTGCTCAAGAGCCCCTGCATAACCTAAGATGGCTCTGTTTATATTCATCAACCCAGTGTATGAACGGAACGGTGTATAAAAAAAACCTGCTGTTTTAGGACAATAACAATCGTCGATTATATATGTTGGAAATATATTTTATACAACAGAAGAGCTTTTTTT